TGCTCATTCCTTCTACTCTTTAGATGAATACTTCAATGTAAATAGAGAATGATGTAAAATTAAGTTATATTAATTTTTAAGCTAAAATTGCCTGTACTTATGTATGTAACCTTTTGACTTGTTCTGTATCCAAAGGTACTAACCTGCTTAGGATTTATAGAATGTAAATAAATTCAATTCAAAAAAACATACATAACAGGATGCAAAGCATACATGCAAAGATAGTTAAGATATCTAACTTAATTGTGTGTTCAAGCAGTTATACATGGTGTACTACAACTTTATGCATGTAAAATTCAAGAGATGAGCCATTTAACATAGAAATACAATTTTCTGTACACACCTTGCTCCACAAGAATTGAACTTTGAAGAACACAACAAAAATGACAAGCGTGAGTCCAAGATCTGTGTACATTAAATATAAGTAACCACAAGCAACAAAAACTGTTCCGCAAATTGACACGCATATTTTTCTACACGAGCATGCTACTTCTTTCACATTTTCCAAACTATTCTTGCACAAAAATGTTGTCATAAAATATATTTGACTAAGAAAGATTTCATTTCTTTTTATGACAACCAAATGAGGCACTCATGTACAGGCCAGAATTCATATGAGACTCGTAATAATACTCAGTCTGGACTAACTTGAAACTAGTTTCTAGTAAGTTGACTTGTCTAGATTAACCCTCTGAAAAATGACTTTCATCTAAATCATACTGTCACCTGTATGAGTATCATTATAGATGGGATTTGGATCAGTGAAGAGATTTATTGCCGTCTTTTCAAATAACTATAATACTATCGCTATTTCCACACTTTATTGTTCACTAGAGCGCACAGTCTAATGCTCTCAGTCTGTCCCTAGAAGTTTCTTGGTAACGGCCCCAACAACGGTTATTCCTTTGCCACAGGTTCAAGTCCTCTTTCACAGACTCCCATAAAGAACTGAACTAAGCTTTAACTTTGTCCTGCTTATAACCTCTTGGCACCAACCACATAGAAAACACAGATCTTCCATTGTTGTAGTCCAACTGTTGCATTATTAAGAATCTGCTGCCTAGCATCAGGCGTTGTTCCATTGTTTGTTTTGCAGAAACATATTTATGGGTCCACTGCCCGGAAACGGCCCTGGTATATCTGACCATCTTGCGGTCGTTGCATATCACCCACTCTACATGCTACATTGCTTCCTCCTTAAGGCTATTCATCCCAAATGGCCTACAGGAATACCACCACTTCTTCTTTTCCGAGGGCTGTGCTTCAGCTTACATTCCACCCCATGGCTCAGTTTGCCTGGTGTTTACTCTCCAATTGTGCTTGGTCTCACATTCCTCCCCATGGCGTGATTTTCACGGTGCTTACTTTCCAACTGCTCCCTCCTTAAGGCCGCTCATCCAGATTCATCCTGATAAGGTGCTAGCCAATCCATCATGACACACCACAGGATGCAAACAATAAAGATCCTTCTTTCGGTCAGTGCGGCTGAACTGCCTAGAGTGGCTGGTGCTCTGGCTCCAGCTCGTACTCTGTGTGCAGTCTTTTCTTTTGTTTTGGAGGGGGCAGACCCCTCCACAATGTCCCACCATTCCTGTTCTGAATGCTGACTGACGGTTCAGCTCTTCATTTCATGATCTCCAGTACAAGAGCCTTCCTCAAAATCCTACCGGATGTCCTCTTGCTTCCAAGACATAGCTACTCCTTTAAGTCTCGGTCCCTTATTCCATTGCTATCTTCCAGTTTCGCCTGATGTCCCTTCCCAAACGTCCATCCTTTCTGGGTTCTTGGCACAGTTTTGTCCTTGCCTTGTCCCTGACAACAGTGTCCCTTATGCTGTGCAGGAATGGCACAGTGGGTCCCCCATCCTCGGGTAGCAGTCAACTTCTTCCAGGACCCACCACTGTCTGGAGTCCATGTCTACGGCTGTCTGTTGCGCCTTACAGCTAGATGCCAGTCCCAATGCCGCTCCTTCAGTGTCTCAAAAGTTTACACTGCAGCCTCTTACTTATGGACCTCCTCATGCTCCACCTCAGATTCTATTTCATATGGATTTGCCTCCAAATCTATGTCCGCTGTCTTTCCTAGACAGGCCTCCATTTTCTGTAGCTGGGAGTCCATCCTGGCCATCATCCTTTCTTGATCTGTATCTAACTTGGTCACCATTTCTGCTTTCAGGCGTTCTTGGTTGGCTCTCATTTCTTCTTTCAGGTGTTGTTGGTTGAATCTCGTTTCTTCTCTCATTTCCCTTAGATTGGCGTCTGCTTTTGCCTGTTTGGCTTTCATTTCTGCTTGGTTGTCCATTTTGGCCAGCAGGCATTCCATCATCTGTTGCATTTCCATAGTGTGGCGATATATTAACTATTGAATTCTTAATTAATAGACTTGTATAAAACTGTACAAATTGTATAAGGTTTGCCATTACTTTTACGCTAAAATTAACTTATTTATTATATTGTATATATTTATCAGTATTTTATTACAAATGTGTATGCTATTGGATGACAACTGTAATTCTTAGTTGTGACTGTAACTAGGATGATCTCCACATCCACATGAGAATTTATTCTCGACAGGGTTTATGGAAGGTGAATAAATGAAATGAAAATGAATATAGCTTATTACTGCAGTCACCACATCATGTGTTGGG